GCGAAGGTACCTATTTTCCAATTATACTTGATAGAAGTGTTCCTTAGGCACATCGTGCTGTAACTCAGTGGGTTGAAGATACAAGGAGATTTCCCTTTCAAAAGGCAACATAAGAGTTTTGACTCTTTCCTTCAACCAATCCATGTAAGGATCGAAAGATAATACCTCTTTTAACCCGAAGAATTATTTTCCTTTCCTTCCAACATGTGCCCAAGCAATTTTCACTTTCTTCAATAATTTCGAATCTTCTCCTTTTTTGCAATACATAGGTTCGACCTCCTTGGCCATGGATGGACGCCTCATGGCATAACCTAATTGGTGAAGAGCGAGTACTGGGTTGTAGTTGATAACCCCTTTTGTTCCTATGAGTGGAACATTAGAGAAACCTGCACAGTGAGAGATGACTTCGGTGCTATCAACCTTAAGTTTGTACCATTGGACATCGAAAGAGGTGAGCGTCATTACTTTAGATGCCCATGAACGAGGATCTTCTTTGAATGGCCCTTTGGTGGGTAACTGCACCATGAAGCATTTGTAAAGCATTGGTATACAACATACCACTACTCCTTTCTTTCCATGCCTAGAATGGATGGCGTGGTAAGTATCTGCTAATAGTGTAGATATCGGATTCTTATTCATGAAGACGCAAAGAGAAGCCAAGTCTACAATTTCTTTAATCTCAGGGAATAAGATAACTCTGTAAATGATAGCAGCCAACAGAGCATAATAAGCATCCCGGTTTCCTGCGTTTGCCATTTCCTTAGCCTTATTTACCAAGAAATCTACAGGAAGACTACAAGTAACTTTGTTACGTCTCCATTTCCCTTTTACGTCGTTAAGGCTCAAATAAAGAACCTTATCAATGGCCTCATAGTCAGGATCAACAGGGACTCAAACAAATGGAATATGACTGGTGAGCTTAACGTTGAGAAGATGAGCATACTCCTCAAGAGTAGGTGCTAACTGGTAGTCTTGAAATGTGAAACAACGCAACTCCAGATCATAAAACTGTAACAAAGTCTGTACAACCTGATCGTCAACCCGAGCATCCAATAAAGATAGGAGATTCCAATATCTTTCACCAAAAAAACCCATTTGTTGACAATTCATGAGGTCTCTGAGTTCTTCAAGAGAGGGCCAAATATTGGGACGAAACTGATAGCTGAAGTTATCCCTCTTTGTCTTTAGGACGATAATAATGTTGTTTGCCATTCTTTAGAGGAAATGGAAACCCTAGAGAGATCCTAGAAATGACAATGCGCATGCGAATTAATTATCGACATATATATATTTTTTAAGAAGTAAATATGCTATGATGTATATGCAAATGATCATGGGGTTACTACTCCCATGATACTGATTTCTATTGTACTGCCTCTTCATAGTCTATTAATACCAGGATTACAGGTCTGAAACATAACCGGAAGAAATCCATGAAGATCATAGTTGGATCCCCAGAAAATAAATCTGGGAATCTCATAATTACCGGCAGAAATCCAGGACATAATCAAAAGTAACTGTCTGAATATAGTCACCAATTGTACCTGTGATAAGAATTCCCTCCCCACTCACGTGTGAAGACTAGGTTTAGGGTAACGCAAAGGTAACTCAAAAATCACAGGTTCGTTTGAAAGTAAAACCATCGCAACACAGACGTGCATGATGAAAGTACCTCCAATTGAACTTCATCTGAGCGTGGTATATGACATGACTGCACTAATCGGACCACGTCCTATAGCCGTCATGACCCGACTCTATTCCTAGTGTCCTAGTGCACTCTAGCCTAGGTACTAGGCCTTTTACCTCAGTAGTAACATTCCCACCCAAACAAGAAGCAGATCCAGTACAACAGTAGTATATGGAAGACAATAAAATGAAAGTGCATACATATGCTCAAGTATATACAAAATTAACGAATAAATTGAAAGCATAAAAATAAACACCCAGAGAAAGGAAAGCAAGAGCTAGGAGCGACCCCGTGATTGACCAGGATTTGGTCGACCTGTCCCCAGTGAAGTCGCCAGCTGAAACAACCGGCTGAAAATCATCAAACAATAAAGTCCCCATCGAATGTCTTTTATCCCACGTGGAGGGAAAGTTAAACATCTAGAAAACTTGAGAAGGGAGAAGCCACGGTCTTGCGACCGAGAGATCGGGTAAGGGAGTCTGTTACGCGAGGGGAAGGTATTAGCACCCCACGCGCCCATAGTACTCTACGGTATCCACTATTGTTATCTATCTTATGGGTGTGTTTAATCTATACTTACTGTTTACTATACTAAAGGGAGAATGCATGCGAAAGAAAGGAGAAAAGAATGTAGGTAAACTAAAAGTTGTGCTCGTTCGGGCCCTACCCCGATGCCTACGTATACCTTTTAAGGAATCAGAGCATTCATAGTTCGGCTCACATGTTTTTGTTGGTTTGTATTTTTTTAATGAACAATATTTAATTTCGCCTTCTGCCGCAACTCGACCTTTGGAGACTTACGCGTCAGCACAGAAGTGAATTAACTTGTTCTTTTGAAAAGGTTTTGGAGAAAAAGTGCTTGGGCGCACAAAAAGGTTTGAATTGGTTTGGTTTTTTAATGAACAATATTAATTTCACCTTCTGCCGCAACTCGACCTTTGGAGACTTACGCGCCAGCACAAAAGTGAATTAACATGCTCTTTTGAAAAAGTTTTGAAATAAAAGCCCATAGGCAAAAGGAGTTTGTGTTTTTTGGTGTTTTTGCTTGTGGATAACAGCTAGTTAATCTCAAGAGAGAGACATTAGCCACTTTTCTACTTATTTATGAAATAAGTCTTTGAGAATTGAACCACACCAAAACTTAGAATAAGAGAATAATAAGGTCCATAAGAAACCCACTTATCATCTCTCATACTTAACAAAGATATGATTCTCATCAGTAAATTTTTAGTATTTTGAAGTTTGTAAGAAAAAGAAGTTTTTGTCTTAATGCAAATGCAAAAATTGGAAAGAAAAGTCAAGGGGAGACTAGCCTATTTCTATCCCTAATGTTATCGTACTTCACACGATCTCTAGGAAGCGATAAATGCAGAGAGAAGGTAGAAAGAAAATATACCACACAAATACTAGCCCGTAGAGCAAAGTAAAAAGCAAAGAAACCCGACGATCTTTGCGAAAGCTTCACCATTCAAAGAAAATAGTTAGAAATCAAATGCCCGCAATAAGTATTGACGCATCATTGACTGTGAAAATAAATCACAATTAAAGTCTCGGGTGCATCCGCATAATAAACCTGCATAAACCTCAAATCTCACCAAACAAAGGTGAATTCACAAATCTCAAATAATCAGATAATCGGGATTTAATTTATTAAAAATATCTCCTAAAATCTAATGTTTTTTTTAGTGTTTTTGTTATGTGAATATTTTTTATTAACAAAATTGTTGTCTAACAATTTTGAAAACAAAGAAAACATATATTCTACACAGGAGGGTATGATTCTAGAAACAGGGGTGTTATAGCAAAATTCGGATGCTAGGGCCCAGTCTGCAACGTCTAACAAGCACCTTTTTTTGTTTCCACTTTTTCAGACTTCTAAAAAAACTGTAATGGACCTAAGGTACACAATCCAATATCAAGGCCTGTTTTATTAAACAAACAAAAAATAAAAAAAAGGATGAGAAAGGGTTTGAAACGACAGCGCTTGGCACGTATAGGATTCACAATTTGTGATCTTTCACTTTCATCGTGCAAGACAGAGACTTACTCTCTTCTTCCTTTCTAACTTGGCGGTGGCCAAATTTCTTTCCCCGGTGATGTGTCGTCATAACTGCCATGAAATATCTCAACCAACATACATTCCTAACTCCAATCACATCTCAAACTCGGCTCCTAATAAAAATTCCTCGTGAATTTCCAAGAATAATCCAAATTGGAGAAGAAGGGAAACGGAAACCCTAAGTATTCGTGTGTTAAATTAAATACTCATCCCCGAGCTTCAGCATCCGAATCTATGGGGGTTTTATTCACAAGGTTTCTTCTTATGCGGCGGTATCAAGAAGGGCGAAAAAGAAGAGGATATGAAAGGGGCGTGATTTACCTACCGGAGGCACTCTATGATGCGGCTTTGATGGTGATGCCGATGATGAAAACCAACAAGAATTCGCAAGCTTAGATACGTGTATTCTTTTTCTTTCACACTTCCTCTTCAGATTTCGTACATTTCTTAGACGTGTGTAATTCGGTGAGGGATTCGCGGTTTTGCCGTTGTTATGCGTGAGGGTGCAGGACGTTGAGGTGTTGTTCAAAGATTGAAGCTCTGTTGTGGTGAGTTTTTGCAAAGATGAAAAAATAAAATCGCAGAGGTGGTGAAGACGGTAGCAAAATGGAACTAGTAGGTTATATTAAAGAAGAAGAGAGAGCTCTCTTGATTTTCTGGTCGATGAAAATGTGAAGGATTTTCAGAGATTTCTGCAGTTGAAAAAAAAGTCCTGCTTTTCCGTTCCTCCTTCTCCTCTTTATAAAGGGAGGTGAGTTTCTGCGACTTAATTATGCTAGAAGTTAGTTACATTTTGTTAACTTTTCTGTTACCGTTAGGAAGTTGTTATAGATGGTTAGTTAGGGAATTAGGGGGAATTCTGTTAGTTCCTATTATATTCTGTTAGAGCAGTTAGCTATTACTGCATTATCAGTATCAACTCAACAAAACACAAAAAAAAGCACAGTAAAAGTTTTTAGCTAAAACAACTTAGAAGAATATTGTTATGTAGTAAAGGCTAGTTTAGAGAATCCATGACATTATCTCTTCTGATTTAATTTATTTGCTTTTCCAAGCTGGGAATTATTTGTTGCAATTCCCAATTTTCTGACTTAAACTATTTTCTACAATCTCTATTACATTTTTTTAGTTCTTTTGCACTTTTTTTGAATTTGATCCAATTCTCATTCAGTATCCTCGATCCCGACCTCAAATTCCAAGGCTACCTTATCTATACCTGGATCCCTCAGTTGCAGAAGATGAATAACATGTTGGTCAACAGGGTGAAATTTGCTCTTGAATGCTGATAATGCCTACCCCGCTGTAGCTGTAGACTCTGCTATCTAGTTCAAATCTATTACCATGTAAACGAATATTTGGGAGCCATGAGACTGGAGGCCTGTTTATTCCTGCCAGGCAGTTGTTGCAGATATGTCCTCCAACTTCCATGAACTGTCTGATAGGAGAAACAACCAGGTGAGTATAGCATCTTAAAGCAACAACACGTATGGAAGTAATACTCCTCTTTGTCATTGCCATTTTTGTAAATGATTGATTTACTTGAGTCCTCAGATTTGGCATCTTCTCTTTGTGGTTCAACTTTATCAAACTCTTTAATGGAAAGAGTATCATCAACATTTGAAGTCACTGGATTTATGTCATTTGCATCTGGCTTCTGACAGTGATTAACAGAAAGTCACCGCTCTTCATGCGCAGAGTCGAGGGTGCTCGTTGATGTGACATCATCAGTAGACCCCTCTTTATCATTCGGAGTTCTATATTCACTAAACATTATTGATTTGATGAAGTCCTCAGGTTTTGCTTTTTTCTTTCTGTACTTCTTCCTCATCAAAAGATTTACTGGAGAATTTTGTATTTATCTGGAGTACACCGTGATGTGACATCTGTATCAGCCATGTCTCTTACAGCTCTACTTTTGAAATCTGCTTCCTTGCACATGCTGCAAATGGTCGATTCAGATGTTGTTGACTTCGTCCTTTGAACCACTAATACTAGTAGAAAATTCAAACGTGTAGCTGGTAGGGTCAACCATTTTAGTCTCAAGGTTGCCTTCTGTGCTCGATGACACTGCTAATTTGCAGTTTCTTGTCTATACATCTCCATCTTCTTCAATCGGATAAACTTTCTCCAAACGGTTTGCAGACCCTTCATCTTTGTCCCTCTTGTCCTTGCTACAGCCAGATTTGTAAGATTTTTTTCCAGTGAGTTACAACTTATGAGAAGCACCAGAATAAAAACAGATGGCGTGTTACGAGAGCGGAGAACAAAAGGTTGTAAATGAGGATGTCTCAACCAATCAGCCGTTGTTGGTCTATGTTCAGGGTGTTTCCTCAGCATGCTCTTGATAATCTGTTTCAGTGTGGAAGAGTAAACAATTGGCAATGGAGAAATAGTGGATCTATTTATTTTATTGATAAGTCCAGCCATGTCCAGAGCATGAAATGCTAGTTGATGCACGACAATTTCAAACATTCAGCAATCAAGCGACCATATGTCATATTTGAGCAACAACAGATATGGCAGTAGTACTTCCTCTGAGGTATCTTCCTATTTTTGTAATGAAGCTGACTTAATTTTATGCATGAATGCAGGTCGGTTTATTTTAATTTATCGTTTGTTATTTGGTCTGGATATATGTAGAGCTGTAAATACTCACGAGCTGGTTCTGGATTTGATCTTTTTTCTTCCGGTGTTTTCCCTTTTATTATCAGACTTTGGATAATAGGTGCAAGTTTCTAACTGATGAAATGAAATATTGTGTCAGCAGTTGGTTTTGTACGGGTTTGATCAACTTGGTTCAGACTTTTGACTTTTAAATCGGTTCTATTTTTTTTTTTGTGATGAAATATTTGAGCTTATGATTGTTATTTAACACCATTTTGTTAGGAATTGGCCCTTTATTGAATGTAGGTTCGGTTATGTCTGAAACAAGTCTGCACGACGGTTTGAAGATGGCTCAAAATTAGAGTCGCAGAAGTTTGAGAAGACGACATGAGAAGTTAACCAAAGCGAATCAGTCTGTATTCTATGCTAAATGAGAGGGAATTTGAAGACAGGTGCTTGACATGAACATGGAATGAATATGTTAGGGTATTGGAATTTTAGGTTTTAAACAAAAAATTGTGTAGTATATTTTTTGTATGATATTTAGACATGCTAATCATGGTTTTGTAAATTGGATTTATGGTTTGTAAATGATAAACATTGTAAAACTTGAGTGGTGAATGCTAAACTTGGTATTTGAAATTGAATGAGCTTGTGATATTCAAAGACGAAATGAATGGATACATTGAATTCCTTGAACCTTGAATCATGATGAACTTTGCTTTTGTAACTCCAAACACTCCATACTTGCGGATTCTGAACTCATGGCACTAAGTAATCATCGTGATGGATAAGTCATAATAGCGAATTCGACTCAAATTCAAATCTTAAATCCAAACTTCAATCTTGAACCCAAATCCACTTGTATGATAAGTAATTTGAATAATTCATAACTTTGCCTTTTGTATTATTACTCATATTTCCCGATTCAATCCATAAATATTGACAAAGTCCTTCCCTAATTGACGACCTTGAATCATCAAAGATGGTCATAGAAAATAATGAAAGAGTATGATAAAGATTACCATGAAACTTTATTTCCCCTGATCTTCAATTACTGAACATTTATCAACGAATAGAAACCCTGATTCTTTGGCCTAACGTAGGGAAATAAACCCTAATCTCTAGAACTGATGAAACTGGATGGAGAAGAAGTCCGAAAATGAGCATGCTCCAAAACCCTAATTCCAAAGTCTTGTACACCAGGAAGACCCTGAATAATCAGACTTATTCAACCCATACACCTAAAATCAGCTGTAACTCTAGCTCCCTAACTGCTAATCTTTTAAACTTCGGGTGATCCAATTTATGAAAATGCGTGCTATGCACATGACCCATTGGAATGATGCAGAGGAATGCAAAGTCTAAGCTAGAATAAAAATGCAATTAGGAGGGAAAATTTTGGAGTGCAACAATGGGCACTCTGACAGGTCCATTCTTTAATTATCTGATTGAGAGTTCTTCATCTGGTTTCACTGAGATGATTCTAACTAGAGAACATGTCGAAAGTGGTATGAAGAGGGGAAAAATTCAAGTGGCTGCATCTTCAGGTGCTGTGAAGAAGACATTCAATGGTAAGAACGAAACTAATGTTATTTATGGCCAGAAGGGACGTGTTAAAAGTGACAGTGATCAATCTGTAGAAGCGGTGCTAATTTCTAATCTTGCGCTTGTCCAACAGCAATAACGCGGAAATCAGGATAGGTAGGACGCTCTGAGAAGACAGTTTACAAAAATCAGTATGCCACTATCTCAAGCATTACAACATTTACTGAAAGCAGAGATGTTAACTTTAAGGGATCCTCCTCAAAATCCCAACAACTTCTTTCCTTGCTATAATCCAAATGAGAATTGTGCCTACCATTTAAACAATCTTGGGCATGATACTAACAACTATTGGTCCCTGAAAACAAAGTTCATGACTTGATTGACAACAAGGAGATTGAGTTTGATACTCCGGAGACCCCGAATGTGATTATTGCACCTATGCCGAAGCATGACAAAGGCATAAGTGCTATTGACAATGTTCCTTATGTTGCTACCGTAAGTGAATTGGTTACTCCCCTACCAATCATCAAGAAGAATCTGTTGCAGGTTGGATTATTTCCAGGCTGTATTGAAAAATGTTATTATTGTGCATTCTAACCCAATAGATACAATTTGCTGAAGGAAGGTTCTGTCTGTTGAAAATCTATGTCAAGACTTATATATAATATTCGGCCCTCCCGTCAGGATTACCTCCAAAGGTCCTCTAAGAATTACTTCCAATCCGAAAGTTGCTCCTCTCATCATCACTACACTTGGACCTATCCCATATTTTTCGGATAAAGCTATTCCTTGGAACTATGGATCCGACGTCTACTACCATGGCGTCAAGCAAGAACTACCGACTGTTAAAGACTAAGTTATTGAAGTTGTTGATCCCGACATTAATAATATTGCTGGGACCAGTAAAGTTACTAGAAGCGGAAGGTTTTCTCCCTGAAAATCTCTCTGAAGACGGTTGCTGCACATATTAAAGTTACAGCCACCCGATAAACTACTGAGGCTCGGGGTAAAGAGCCAATAATAGAGCCTGCCCAGATTGAGGTGCCTAAAGAGATCATAGTTAAAGACACCTCTAGACAAAAGTTGGAAGAGGTTTTGAAGATTATATGTAAGAGTGACTACAAAATTGTTGAGCAGATGGGGTAGACCCCGTCCAAAATCTCCATGTCAGCCCTACTATTGTGTTCCGAAGCCCATGCATAGGATTTGGTAAAAGTCTTGAAGACTACTCACGTGCCACAAGAGATTTCTTCCAATAAATTTGGAAACTATGTTGCTAGCTTAATGACAAACAACGGATTAGGTTTCTCTGATGTTGATCTGGCACCAGAAGGAAGAAATCATAATAAGGCCCTGTATGTCTCCATTGAATGCAGGGGAACTACTTTGGCTTACGTTCTGGTTGATACTGGTTCCTCATTAAATGTTCTACCAAAGGGAGCTATGGATAGACTTGATTGCGAAGGAGTTACACTAAAACCCAATGATATTATAGTTTGAGCCTTTGACGGATCAAAGAGGATGGAACACGGAGAAGTGGATCTTCTGATAAAGGTAGGTTCGCAGGTCTTTGAATCCACCTTCTATGTAATGGATATTCTAGTAGCTTATTATTTCTTATTGGGACACCTCTGGATTCATGGGGCAGGTGTTGTTACCTTAACCCTGCATCATAAGCTAAAATATCCTGTGAACGGAAAGATTGTTACTGTCTGCGGAAAAGAGGAGTATATGGTTAGCGACTTGAACTTATTCCGGTATATAGAGATGGACGAAGAATTAATTGAGACTCCCTGTCATACTTTTGAAGTGATTTCCCTTTCCGCTACTGAAGATGTTTCGATAATCCCCAAGGTTAACAGGGTTCCGTATAAGATGGCTACCTTGAAAGATGTTAAAGATACTGTAAAAGAAGGTGGTTGTACTATTTGGGTTCAGCTTCCCGATATTCCCTATAAATCTTGCAAATTCGGTTTGAGTTTCAGTGCAGAGGGTCAGAGGGATGTTCATCGCGCTCGCACTGGAAGACCATCATTTTGCATCAACAACAACTGAGTCAAATCTATAGAAGATGCTGAAAATGATCATGACCTTCATAGTTGGATCTTCCCTACCATTGGAAATAGGCTCAGCAATTGGAAGGCGGAAGACATTATCTCTATCTCCTTTAGTCATGAGTAATAGCCACTCTTCTGTTTCTATTACTTTCAACATTTGGCTTTGTAATATTTAAACAATGACTTTAAGCCTTGTGCCTTACCCGGGGAACAATGGTTCATTTGTTAAGGGTTGTCATTTCATAAACATATTTTCATTTAATAAAGCATTGGACGTTTTGCATTCAAATTTTGTGCTCTTTTTCTTTATGTTTACTTTTATCACTTTCAAATAGCTATGTGTTCTTACACACACCCATACAATACATTGTAGATCCACATCCACTTTGGATCCCGTTGATAACGTCTCTGCTATTGCCACTTATGACTTTGAAAATCCGATCTACCAAGCCGAGGACGAAGGTGAGGAAGATTGTGAAATACCTGGAGAACTTTCCAGACACTTAATTGAAGAGGAAAAGGCCATACAACTGCATGAAGAGCCAGTTGAAGTTATAAATGTGGGTTCTAAAACAGACAGGAAAGAAGTCAAGATAGGAACCAACTTAAAGGACAGTGTCAAGAACAAGTTAGTGCAGATGTTACATGAATATGTTGACATCTTTTCTTGGTCATACAAAGACATGCCAGGACTCGAAACTGATATTGTGGTTCATCGACTGCCAATGAAAGACGGTTGTGCTCTGATAAAATAGAAGGTTCGTCGCATGCGTCCCGAGATGTCAGAGAATATCAAGGCCGAAGATATGAAACAATTCAACACAAGGTTCTTAGCAGTGACATCCTATCCTCAATGGCTTGCAAACGTGGTTCCAGAACCGAAGAAAGACGGTAAAGTACGCATGTGTGTAGACTATAGGGATCTGAATAGGGCAAGCCCCAAAGATGACTTCCCACTGCCACATATAGATGTCTTGGTCGAAAAAACCTCTCAACACAAGGTATTCTCCTTCATGTACGGCTTCTCGGGTTATAATCAGATCAAGATAGAACCTGAAGACATGGAAAAGACTACTTTTGTTACACAGTGGGGCACTTTCTGCTACAAAGTTATGCCTTTTGGGTTAAAGAACACCGACGCAACATATCAGCATGCTATGGTAGCTTTGTTCCATGGCATGATTCATCACGAGATAGAGATCTATGTCGATAATATGATAGCCAGATCTCAGACTGGAGAAGAGCATCTTGACCATCTGCACAAGCTGTTTGAGAGACTGAAAAAGTACAAGCTGAGATTGAATTCGAACACGTGCACCTTTGGGGTGAGATCTAGTAAACTCCTGGGCTTTGTTGTCAGTGGTAAAGGTATTAAGGTTTATCCCGCTAAATTCAAAGATATTCAATAAATTCCCACTCCCCATATTGATAAGGAAGTTAGAGGTTTCTTGGGACGATTGAATTATATTTCCCGATTCATCTCTCATTTGACTGCTACTTGCGAGCCAATCTT